ACAAACTGAAAATAAATTTTTCTGTAAAGTATCTTTGCTCTTCCTATACTCCTCTAAAGTGTCCCTTCGTCTGCTCTGCCCCAGAGTATTTTCTATCAATCTTAACTTTTCATGTCCAACAATCATTCAGACTAAATTGCTAATAGTTATTCTAGTGTATGTGGGTGGCATTTAGTCTTTTTTCCTCTGATGTTAATTTTCCCTAACTTTATCTTAATTATATAACTGGCACGTTCTTAATTACATGAAAATTTGAAGTCACAGATGGAGCAAAAAGAAAATCAGGCCAGGTGCAGTGACTCACTCCTGTAATCCCAGCAGCTCGGCAGCTGAGGCAGGAGAATTGAGAGTTCAAAGCCAGCCTCAGCAATTTAGCAAGGCCCTAAGCAATTTAGCAAAACCCTGTCTCTAAGTAAAATGTAAAAAGGGCTGGGGATGTAGCTCAGTGGTGGGGATGTAGCTCAGTGGTTAAGCACTGCTGGGGTTCAATCCCTAGTTAAAGAAAGAGAGAGAAAGAGAGACAGAGAGAGAGAGAGAGAGAGAGAGAGAAGAAAAAGAAAAAAAAATCAGAAACACCTGTGCTCTCCTTAAGAGGAAAAACCACTGGATATTTTGTATACAATTTCATAGCTTTTCCTATGTATATACATGGGACTATTTTACACAAATGAATAACGTACATAATCCTCTTAATTTATCTTAATGAAACTAGCTCTCAAACCTCCAGAGTTATCCTGCCTCCACAGCATGTGCTGCGTTAGCATTTTGGCAGTTGCATATTCTCACGCTAATTTCTTTCCCCAGATGACTTAACACGGTCTTAGCTGCCTCAGCAAGTATTACTTGTATCTATTCCAGAATGTATTCTCATTAGATGCTTATTAGACTAAGACCTACCCTTGATTTCAGTTCTCATCTTTCAGTTAACCACAATAATGAGAATTCTGAAGCTTCTAAAATCACATAGATTGAGATTTTGAAGAATCACAGCAGGAAATTGAGCCTCAGTTGCTCAGATCCTTGTCTGAACCAGAAAGCTGCTAACTCCTTTTGTTCTGGTTTCAGGATCCCAAGGCTCTATTAAACACACCTATGTGTAGCTAATATACCAATTAGGATGTAACAGTGGTCTACTTTATGCTTTGGGTATAGCCCTCGATGCTATGCCATTACAACTTATTTTTAAAATGAACATGTTTCTCTCTCTCTCTCTTCCTCCCATATCTCTTCCCCTGCCTAATCTCGGGGAGAAACAGGACTACCTTTCTTCCCCATCCTAGGCATAATTATCTGTCCTTGAGCATACCACCACAGGATCAAAGTAATTCAGACTTGGGGATGGCACCAGAAGATCTCAGAAATTATTATCTCCCATATTAATGAGCGAATTACAATTTCAACAGAGAACATGTGGAATGTAGCCTTTGAATCACCTCTTTAAAAGCCTGCTGATGGACAGAGTCACAGCCTCTGGGCCAGGAGTTCCCTGTGTTTTTCCTTTCGCTAGCAAAGCAATAAGCCTTTTTCCTTTTTCTCAAAACTGTGCCCTGGTTATCGGATTGGCATCGGGGACAAGGACCTTGCATAAATTTTATAGTTATTATAAGTGAATGCACTGAAACTTATATAAACTCATTTCTTGCTTTTGATTGGTTGGTTGGTTGGTTGGTTTTGTGGTGCTGGGAATTGAACTCACACCTGAGCCTCACACATGTTAGGCAAGCACTCTGCCAGCGTGCTACATCTCTAAAGCTCATCTCCTATTTTTAAACTGATCAGTCCTCAAAATATTAGCCATCACAGAAGCGGGGCTGGGAGGAAGAGAGAGAGAGAGAGAGAGAGAGAGAGAGAGAGAGAGAGAGAGAGACAGATTAGCCATTTCTTACTACCTATCAACTTCCTGTACCATTCAAAGCCAAGGAGCAAAATCCTGGATCATGGTGACATTATAGGGAATTTCATCATTGGTACTAGTCCTACCTGGGCTCCCAGCCACCAGGTATCTTAAAATATATTGTGTCACTCTGCCTACAGCAATTACTGCTAGGTTCCACTCCTAGTGAAGAAATATTTGCTTTATTCTTGTATCATCATGTAGTACCTTGTTCTTTACATATTCAAATAGGCCAATGGGCTTCAAGTATCTTTTTAGGACAATAATTTTTTTTTTTTTAGATAAATAAAGCAGGTACTTTCAGTGCCTTTAAGTCAAACTATGTGGAGAGAGAAACTGTAGTTTTCACTGTGGGCCTCCTCTCTCTGTTAATACCTACCCTCCTTAATAATCAGCTCCAGCTTCACCTGAACCAGGAAGGCATCTTCAATATACTTCACACCAAACCACATGCTTCCTTCTTCGAACTCCCTAAATACTCTCTGCTTGTCAATCAGTGCCCCTACCACACAGCACTATAATTGCATGCTTAAGCCTTGACAGTCTTAAGACTATGAGATCACTGAGCACAGAATTTCATTTTCTTCTTTGTATCCCCAATGCCTACCAAAGTTTCTGATACACTTTTTCTGAGTGAAAAAGTGAATGAGTGAATGCTCTGTCTAAAGCACTAGTCAAAGTTATAGATCAAAGAAAATTTTGAATACGTATGTTTCCATAGTTGGTGGAGCAAGCCTGCCCATATGACAAAATAATTGTGATTAGAAATATAAGACATAATATTAGACATATATCATGATATAATGATTTTATATCTATCAATTTTTTATCCTCAAAACAACATTGTAAGATAACTTTAGTTATTTCATATTTCCAAATAAAGGAAGATCCTTGCCAAGACCACATTGTTTATATTACACAGTTCACCAAGACTAGGCAAGCATATCTTGTGCATCAGCTGTGGCACCCAACCCCTTGGGTTAAACCTGGCCCCAAAGCCCAGGTACACTGTGGTGGTCTGCAGCTATCCCATGTTTTCTTCAAGCTTGTTTATTTCTCTGTGTGCACTTATGCATCCATATTAATTATCTCTATTTTTTTTCCTCACAAAATCCCAGACTTATGACTTGAGAAATTAGATTGAAGAAGAGGAAAGAAATGTAGCCATTGCCAGAAAGTAAAAAGAATTTTGCTTTTAATGTTAGAACTCAACATGTATATAGGTTTTGAAAAGGAGAAGAGTAAAAAGAAAGGCCAACGATAGAAAACAAAAAAATTGAAACCTGAAGGCATAAAGCTGAATTAAGAGTTAAAAAGCTAAAAAAGAATTGAGGACCAGAAGTAAGCTAAGGGATGAACCTGGACCATGACAATAATAATATATCTCCTTCACCATAACAGACTGGAATGAAGAGATCGTAAGTTCAAGTTCTTGAAGTCCCTGCACAAAGTTGACAGGGGGAAGTTGAGGGAGTCCCCACAATACGACTTCTGCTTTCTTTCTGTCGTGGAGGTGGGACATCTGCTCAGAACAAGAGCAATGATAAGGGAAGTTTGAAGACAGTGAAAAGAATTTGAAGAAGTCTTTATGGAAGTGAAAATGTGGCTGACCAAAGAAATATAAAAGCAGGCCAAGGGGAAGTTGAGGGTCTGTTTGAGATTGAGTCTTGAGAATATTTAATGGCACCAGACTTTTCTGCTTATTAGTTTCCTCCATCAGAGCTCCGGTAATGAGTGAGGCACAGACAAAGCACTTACGTAAATTCATCTAAGCATTTTGTTGGCTGGGTTAAACTGATCATTGCGATGCCATTATGAATGGCCTAGGTAGGTCCCACAGTAGCTCCAATATTGTTGAAGCTCCAGAAACTCAAAGATATTGGTTCTGTCCTATTTCAAAACAAGGCTTTTCAATGTAAAGATGTTTATTTAAGAAAGTATGAACATAAAAATGGAACCATAGTGAGCCTTCACTGAATTAAACATCACAGACAAAAAGACCTAGTTAACTTTGACATGTGTATTTTAACTTTAATTGAGACACATATGTGCTTTTATTTATCTGTAATTTATATAAAAATCTGAAACTGTCATGCTCACCAATATATCTCTATAGTTATCAGCATAGTAACTGACATGTTAAGTGTTTTAGTATTTTATAAGTGAATGTTATAATAATCCATGCTTTTGCAATAATGAAAGTGTTCTTGGGAACTGTGTTCTTGTATAAAATGACTCAGCATCATAAAAATATTAACTTCCCTAAATTAACATAGCATAATCTCAATAAAAGATCAACCAAAGTTTTATGGAATTAAACCAGATTTTATTAAAATTTACAGAGAAAAAGAAATATGCAAGAATATGTAGGAAAATCCTAAAACAAATAAAAACAAAGAGAAATAGACTTGCCAAATATTAAAATACATTATAAAGCTGCAATAATTAAAACACCATGATAGGATAGTGGAATAAAACAGATAAGAAATAGATCCAAGTACCTATAAAAATCTGGATATGATAAGCATGGCATTTCAAGTCATTTGGGGAAAAGATGAACTTTTATAATAAATATGCCAGGACAACTAGTTAGCAATTTGGAAAAAAATTATATACCAGACTCATTCTATACAGTAAATTCAAGTGTATTTGGAATCTAAATGTAAAAAATGGAGCTATGCAAGTATTTGTAAAGCTTCCCAAAAAGCCAAAGACAACTATAAACTTGTTTTTTAAAAAAAGATTTGCAACACAGATAAAATACTCCTAATGTATAACAAAATGACTAAAAATGTAATAGAAAATGAGGGGAAGATATGAATGGATAATAATTCAAATTCAGGGAAATATAAATTCAAGCAATTCTGAGATACCAATTTTCACCAATTAGGTTGGCATACATTCTATTGGTAAGACATTGAGGAAGCAAGTTATTTCACACATGACAGTACACATACAAGCTGGTGCAATGCTTTTGGAAAGAAATTTTGCAAACAAGTTAGTACAACCAAACTGTATATATACTTGCCTTTTGTGTTAGTTGATTTTTCTTCACTGTGACCAAAATACCCCACAAGAACAACTTAGAGGATGAAAAGTTTATTTGGGAGGTTCACAGTTTCAGAGGTTCAGCCTACAATCAACTGGCTCCAAAGCAGAAACATCATGGTGGAAGAGCATAGTGGAGGAAGGCTGTTCTCGGCTCATGAAAGCTGGGAAAGAAGAGAGAGAGAGAGAGGAAAGGAGGGAGGAAGAAGCCAGGAGATATAATTTAAGATCATTACTCTAGTGACCTACTTCCTGCAGCATGGCCTCCTGTCTAATCTTAACACCCAGTAATACATGCAAATTATTAATCCATCAAATGGATTGATGCACTGATGAGTTTAAACTCATAACATAACCACTTCACCTCTCAATATTCCAGCATTGCCAAATATATGTGCTTTTTGGAAGATACCTCAAATCCAAGCCACAACACCTTTTTACCCAGAAATCCTACTTCTAGGAATTTACCTGAAGATATACTTTTAACAACATATAAAACTACACACACACGTTGCGGTTTTGTTTGTAATTGTAAAACACTGGAAACAATGCTCATACCTTGAAGAATGTTTTAAAAAATTATAAAAATCCACAAAATGCTGTAAGAAATAATGTTCTCTATGAATTTCTGTGGATATATTTTAAGAGGAAAAAAGTAGTATGAGGCCTTTTTATTTAGTAAGAAAGAGTGACAAACTGAAAAAGAAACAGGAAAGGAAAGAGGGCATGGGGGAAATATTGGTGGAAGGGTAGCTAATTACATTAAGGAAAATAAGGCAAAATGGTAACTATAATTAATGATGATGTAGTCTTGAAAAAAGAAATAGGGAAGATAAATTCAAACATAATAAGATTGGTTACCTATGTGAGGTGGGAACTGATGTGAACAGAATGTGGGAATTGAGATAGGATAAAAGAGGTGGGAATGCTTCTCTGAGTAGAACTTTTTGTGAAGTTCCAACTTTTAGAAGCATGTTAGTGTTTCACCTACTCATTATTTATCTCTATATCTTTTTATCTACTTACCTACCTATGTAATTGAAAGCAACCAGAATTCAAGTGGAGACTCAAAACAAAATCATGATAGAAATAAATGAAATGTGTTACAAATAAATGGCATTGTCTTTGTGTCCTCTGTTCTGTACCATTGGTCTACAAGTCTATTTTGGTGCCAATACCATGCCATTTTTGTTACTATTGCTCTATAGTAAAGTTTAAGGTCTGGTATAGAGGTGCCACCTGCTTCACTCTTCCTGCTAAGGGTTGGTTTGGCTATTCTGGGTATCTTGTTTTTTTCCAGATGAATTTCATGACTGCTTTTTCTATTTCTATAAGGAATATCATTGGGATTTTGATTGGAACTGCATTAAATCTGAATAGTGCTTTTGGCAGTATGTCATTTTGACAATATTAATTCTGCCTATCCAAGAACAAGGGAGATCTTTTCATCTTCTAAGGTCCTCTTTAATTTCTTTCTTTAGTGTTCTGTAATTTTTCATTGTAGAGATCTTTCACCTCTTTTATTAAGTTGATTCCCAGGTGGGGTTTTTTTGAGGCTATTATAAATGGGGTAGTTTTCTTAGTTTCTCTTTCAGAGATTTTTGTCATATACTCTTCAGTAGATGAATGGATAAAGAAACTGTGGTATATATACACAATTGAATATTACTCAGCATTAACAGAGAATAAAATCATGGCATTTGCAGGAAAATGGATGGAATTAAAGAATACTATGCTAAGTGAAGTAAGCCAATCCCAAAAAAACAAATGCCAAAAGTTTTCTCTGATATGAGGATGCTGATCCATAATGGGGACTAGGTGGGGAGAGCATGGGAGGAAACTTAAGATAGGGCAAAGGAGAGGAAGGGCAAGGGAGGGGGAAGAGGGGTAGAACAGACTGTGAAATGAGGTGGACATCATTATTCTAAGTACATGTATGAAGACACGAATGGTATGACTCTACTTTGTGTACAACCAGACATGAAAAATTGTGCTCTATATGTGTACTATGAATTGAAATGCATTCTGCTGTCCTATATAACAAATTAAGAATAAAGAAATACATTTTTTAAAAATGGCATAACCAGACTGAAGTCATTAAAAAAGAAGAAAAAATTAACACACAAATGAGGGAGGAAGGAAGAGAGAAAGAAAAAACATCCACCAATGTCTTGTATCACATACAAAAATTCAAAATGGTTCACAGATCTAAATGTTTAAAACTTCTAGATGAAAACGTTGAACCTCATCAAAATTAAGGCCTTCCTCTCTGGTCCTTGAAAGACACTGTTAATGTAAGACAAAACTGCAGACTCAATATCTAGTAACACCTGGGTTATATAAGGAAACTCTCAAAAGTCAGTAAGTATCAACACTTAAGGATTTCAGTGTGAAGACAAAATAAAAATATCTGATCCTATTTCCACCTAGGAATACACCAATTCAGCAACAATACACAGACCATTTCCCTTCACGAGAAATTCAGAAACCACCACATGTGAATGTAAAACCTGTTACAACAGAGTAGGTAGAAAGATTTGAGACACCCACTTGCCATAATCTCTCCCTGTGCGCAGCACCACACAATCAGGAGAAAACTTCAGTTCCCTTTCTAGGGAGGAAAAGACTGGACAATATATCCAATATTCAGGGCTGGGGTTGTAGCTCAGTGGGAGAGCACTTATCCTGCACATGTGAGGCACTGGGTTCAATTCTCAACACAAGACAGAGAGAGAGAGAGAGAGAGAGAGAGAGAGAGAGAGAGAGAGAGAGAGAGAGGGAGAGAGAAAGTATTGTGTCCATGTACAACTAAAAAAAAAAAATCCAATATTCTGACTTTTCTGTAGGCGACTTGAGAGTCTGGTTTCTGTCTTGTTTGAATATGAACACTGACATCAAAGAGCCCTGAGAGAGAACAAAGGCAACTTAGGACAAGCACAGACATTCACTATAAAGCCCTCTCCCTAGTTAATTGCCAAGTGAATAGGCAGAAACCCTCATGTTCCAGTTTCTGCCTGGAGAGGGAAGCAGTTGAACTATGTAGTCATTCTTGCTGATTTTCAAGGGACTGCTGGCAGAACTGGCTTTTGTCCCAGAGTACTGGTGGGACCAACATTCTCTAAATGCCTAGGGGCCTCTTGCAGACAAAAAGGAAAGAATTAGGGCCTAGGGCTCCAGAAAATGCAGTCAGCAAACAGAATACCAGAGAGAAAGATATGAATTCCTGAAACAGAGAAACCACGTATCCCTCTGATCAGGAATTTGTATGCACAAGCCCAGAGAAAACACAGGTTTTGTTTTTTTGAGAAGGTTTGAGAAATTTCCTAGAATCTCTGGCTTGGCTTATGGTCAGGGTCTTCTCCTGCATGAGGCCAGTCTTTGAAGAATAAAGATGTGGCAATTTTTCCTAACTCACATATTGCAACACAAAGAGTCAAGGAAAATGAAGAAATGGGGAAAGCACAGCTCAAACAAGGAAACAAGATGAATTACCAGAACAAAACTCAATAAAAAAGATCTCTATGAATAACATGATATAGAATTTTAAATAACCATTATAAAAATGCTCAAAGGTCCAGAATGAGTGAAGTTAGAATTTCTGTAACAAAGATTGAATTTTTTTTAAAAGAATGAAACAGAAATCTTGGAGCTGAAGAATATAATAACTGAATTGAAAAATTCAATAGAAGGGTCAAATAACCAACTAGAGTGAGCAGAAAAAATACCAATAAATACAAAGGTAGGTTATTTGAAATTATTTAGTGGGGGAGAAAAAGGGAAAAATTTTTTTAATGAAATAAAGCTTAAGGGATTCTCATGGACACCATCAAGTGAAAAAACATCCATTATAGAGTCATAGAAAGAAAAGAGAAAAATCAGATCACAAAACTTATTCAAAGATATAATTGATAAAAACTTCCAAAATCTGGGAAGGAAATTGGATACCCAGATCCAGGAAGTCCAAAGGGCATTCATTAGGATGAATCAAAAGAAATGCACAAGAAAATACTTTATAATAAAATTATCAACAGTTAATGACAAAGGGTTTCAAAAACAGCAAGAGAAGAGCAATTTGTCACATACAATGGCAGAGAAAATCTCCATCAGACTCTAAGTGTATTTATTAGCAGAAACCTTGAAGGCCAGGAGAGAGTAAATGATATATACCAATGTGCTAAAAGAAAACCCCGAATACTCTATATGATAAAACTATTCATCAAAATGAAGGAGATATAAAACAAACAAAGGCTGAGGAAATTCATCATCAGTAGACTTGCCTTAGAAGAAATGCTTAAGGGAGTTCTTCAACTTGAAATGAAGACACTAAACAGCTGCTTAAGTACATAAGAGAATACAAAACTCAATAAAGATAAATATAAGGTCAGTCCTCATATTCATCACATTACTATAACAATGTTAGTTAAAATACTTTTAATTCTTATCCTAAAGTTAAATGACAAAGGTATTAAAAATAACATAAGAAAATGTTGATGGGTTCACCATATAAATAGACATAAATTGTGACATCAATAATGTACAGTGGGGGGTAGAGAAATAAAAGCATAGAATTTTTGTAAGGTACTGAATTAAGATGTTATCAGTGAAACAAGAAGGAAGACAGCAAAGGATAAAATAGTGATGAACAAGCTATAACACAGACAGAAAATAATTAATAAAATGTCAATAGTCAACCCTGCCCTATGAATAATACTCTAAATATGTTTTAACTCACCCATGAAAAGGCATAGAGTAGCTGGATGAAATAAAAACAAAATACAACTTTACGTTATCTGCAAGACTCTTTTTACATTTAAGGACACAAGGAGGTAAAAGTGAAGGGATAGAAAAATATACTTTGGAGAAACAGTAAACAAAAGAAAGCCAAGGTAGTTATCCTTTCAGATAAAAGTGTCAAAAGAGACAAAGGAGGACATTATATAATAATACAAGAGTAGATTAAACAGGAAGAAGTTGCACTCATAAATTATTTATGCATCCAACATCAGAGCACCTAAATATATAAAGCAAACATTGACAGAACTAAAGGTAGACATAGATAGTGGTAGTAAAAAGAAAGCTTTAATACTCTGCTTTCCAAAAAAAGGAACCAACCAGACAGAAAATCAACAACGAAAAAAAAACCATCAGATTTGAACAACACTGT